GTTAAGAGGTAACTAGAAGTTTAAATTTACATTATGATTACAGCCTTTCTTTTATAAGTTGAAGCACATTACTTTGGTCCATTGAGCAAACTCATTCTTATTCATTGCCTTTTAAAGTTGACATTTAACTTCCACAGCTGTACAGTTGGCAAGGAGCAAAAGAATATTTAATATTAAAGAGAGAAGATTCTAAAACATCACAGCATTCTATGGTATGGAACACACTGTAATTAGTATACATTAACTGAAAAAAGAAATTACATATGGAATTAGTGAAGGAAAAGGTGCTCATGTATTTATTTCCTTGCTAATATGCAATCAAATAACACAAATAATTCAGCAATTCAAACTAATAAAGGACTGATTTTCTAAAAGATTATGTCTTCTAATGCATTCACCAGAATAGAACTCAGAACAACTTTTGGTTCTACAGGTCTTGAAGTCCTAAATCAAATAAGCTAGGAAACAGCAATATACCTCTCTTTCATTAGAATTTTGTATTCCAGGGCACCTGGGTGGCTCAGTCGGTTAAGCATCTGCCTTTGGCTCAGGTCATGATCCCAGAATCCTGGGATCCAGTCCTGCATTGGGCTCCCTGCTCATCTCTGCCTTTCCCCCTCTGCTGGTTCTCTCTCTTTTGCAAAAATAAATAAAAATACTAAAAAAAAAAAAAAAAGAATTTTCTGTTCCACATCAGAAATAATCTATTCATTCAAGAAACAGTTACTGTGCAATGGCTTCAGGCACTGGAGATAGAGCTTGACAGTTTTGCCCTTTAGAGCATTGAGTTTAGCAAGAAAGACAAACAGGAATGCAAGTAATTGTAACCAAGATGAATAGTGTTAGGATGAAAGAAGCACACAGTGTCATGGACACCCACAAGGGCCCTACCAAGTCATGGGGGCTGGGAGTGACAGTAGGAAAGGAAGGTTCTCTGGAGGAGGTGACATTTCAGATGAGACTTGACAACTTCACAGGTAAGATTAAAGGTACACATTGCATTTTGCTTCTTCAAAAAGCTCCACTAAAACCATATTAAAGAGGCTTTAAAAAATAAACCTATAAGAATAAGGAGAACATAAAAAGGGTAACTGCTCCTCCTCTCTTCCAACAGGAAGGTAGAAATGTACTCACTAGAAAGGGTAAAAGAGAAAGTCATCGATCAACAACGTGGTTCAGTGACCATACATAATGGAAAGATTAATATTGATGTCCCAGCAAAATCTCCTGCTCACCCCAAGAACACAGGCACCAGCCCTTCACCTGTCAGATGGTCAAGTAAGTGTGCTTCCTCAAGGGGAATGTGACCAGCCCAGAAGGAAAGACTACTGACACCAGGGCTCCTGGGGGGGGGGGGGACAACAGACCCACCTAGATCCCTCCAGTAAAGCTCCAAGGCAGTTAGCTTCACTCTCAGGCTCTTAATCATGAAAAGAAAAGCAAGGGTTGATTATCAGATATCTCAAGAAAGCCTCTAGCATGGAAGATAGATACCATACACTAAAAAACCAAACAGAAACAAAAAAGCATTTTGGAGGAAATAGAGAAAAAATTTAAGAAAAACAATCATTAACATCCCTAGATAGATATTACAGTTATGAAATTTAAAAAGGATCTTATAAAAACAGAAGAATTCAAAAAAACAAAAAACAAAAGAACTCAACAGTAGGGTTGAAGAAAGAGAGAGTAGATACTAAAGGCAAAAATAAAACAGAAAGACAAGAAAATTAGAGAACCAGACCAAGCAATTCAACATCCAAATAAAGGATTTCCAAAAAGAAAGAACACAGAAAATGGAAGGTATAAATCATCAATGAAGTAAATGAAGAACACTTCCCTGAATTGATAGATAGGAGTTTCTAGACTGCTGAGTGTCTGGCCCAACTGACTTGCACAGCACTTATCATGTACACATCGATTACTGTTTTAACTATCTTATGTATATAAACTTGCTTAATCGTCATGGCAACCCCGGAACATGGATGCCTTTATAATTATCATTTTACAAATAAAGAAACTGAGGTACAAAATGGCTAGGCAACTTGCCCAAGATCACACAGCTGGTAAGAGGCAGCGCCAGGATCTAAAGGCAGGTAACATAGCCCCAGGACCCGTGACACGATACTACCATGCAGGAGGCAGCACCATTGTAAAATTTCAGAATACACTGCAGACAGTTCTATATGATCTTTTAAAACCAGGGGTAGCTATTCTTCCCATAGTGCACACAGGGCCTCATCCTCGACCAAGAGCCTAAGGGGAACTCCATGCAGACTCCCATTCCCACCTCCACACACAACTTTCTTCCCTCCAATACCCTGTCCTACAAATTTGAGTCACATCAGAAGGTCTAAATTCCTATTCCTGCTTCCCAGCTCAACAAGAATACTGCTCTTACTTGGGCTCACCTCCCTGCACAAAGCCAAGAGAAGTATCCTCACAGAGTAAGTCAGGGGAGAATGAAAATGCTCCCCTCTCATCTCAAGGAGCACAGGTGCTACCACCCAGCTGCTACCCAACACTTGACAACAGTTGCCTACACATTTTGCCCAGTTCTATAATTATGCATGCCAGGATAGTAAGTCTGAAACCAGTCCTTGTGTGCCTGAAGATATCTTTACTTGACCCTCCCATTTCGATAGTTCTAGGCTCAAAATTCTTTTCTATCAACACTTCAGTGTTATATTCTTGCAATCCAGTGTTGCTGTTGGAAAGTGAACATCAACTTGATTTTTATTATTTTCCCTATTTTTGCAACTGTTTCCTTTATTTCCCCAAATAATACAGCTTTAAATTCCTGTTCCATTTGTTCCATCAGGTCTGCTTCCTCTGGTATAGGTAGGTTGCCTATGTCCTGTCATTCTTCATGATACTTTTATTCTTTAGATGTGTCATGATATTTTTCAACTGGGACTTCATCAGTAGTATTCCTGAGACCATCAGTTGCCTCTGCTTTGATGACTACAAAGGTGGCCCATTGAAAAGAGAGGGTCAGCTGGTGTCTTCGCTGTGAGGGAGGGAGATCGAGTTAAGCCCCTCTACTGCAGGTCTCTGGGCTTAACTGCGCTTGTTTTCATTGGCATTTCTTTCTCCTTTAGATGCACCATCTAGTTCCTCTGTATCCAAGACTGCTTTCTTGAACTGGAGTTGGGGGAGACAACTCCAGGCCCCCCTGGCCATTGGAGCTGGCATTACAGATTTCAACACTGAGATCAGAGTTTCAGGGAGGTAGACTGTTGTTATCAAATCATCTATTAGGTAGGGCTCTGGTGTTTCATTTTCTGTCCTGGACTGAAAACAGCAGGCAAAGTCATTGTAGAAAATCCAACTTTGAGCATATACTCCATGTTTGCAAACACAATAGACAAGACTCATTTAGCTCCTGTCTAAGCCTGCCTGACCAAGATCACAGCTCCCACCCTGGACTGGCCCAAGACTCCATCTAGAGACTTCCACGTTTGTCTTCTCTCTTCTCCCCTTTCCCATCTCCAGCCCTCTCCTCCACTAGCCCATCATTTTCTTTAGAGTTTCTCAAAATTTTGATACAGTTTTCAAGTCTGCCTCTGGATTCATTCTGCCTTTCCATGTCTTTGCTGGAATTTCCAGATTTCAGTGCCAGTGGAATGTTTTTAGCTCATCACTTTCATGGAAGCCAGAAGTCCACCCTCCTCAGGGATCATTCTGGGGATACTCCCTGTGGACCTTCCAGCCCAATTAGGTATGCTACAGCAGGCTGTGGGAGACATAGGCCAGGCCAGCCTCACAGGAGGAATCAATGTTAGGACCTGCACTGTTAGAACATCTGGCCAGAATTACCAGTGACTGTGAGATGGGGTGGGGCATTTTCATTTAAGACACTTCCCACCCTGACCCCAGGCAGACTGCAAAGTAGCTTAGTTCTAATGCCAGACATTTCTCAAAGGAAGCAAAACATCCAAATTTCTGGTAATGATGACATGCATCTATATCCTACATAGTGCACAACCCGATACTTAGAATTTTATCATGCTTGTAAGTACCTATATTTCCATATCACTTATCTATATATCATTACAGAAATTATGAAAGTTTGTCTTCTTTAGAAAGATGAGTGGAAGACAAATTTCTTTTGTATGGTAAAAGTCATGCTGCTTCAAAATAAATATATTTCTTTTATCAGTAAAAAATAGCAGTTTCCTGCTCTACAGTCAACTCTCATTATTCATAGTAATGTTCTATAAAGTTGCTGCAAACACTGAATTAGCAAATACTGAACCATTGCTCTTAGAGGAAACATGGGATTAGGTTCCTGAGAGCCTCTGCCCACAACATTTTCATCAAACAATCAGTACATCATATGGTTTTATGCATGCTTCTGTTTAAAGACATTTTAATATATATTGTTATTCATTAACAATGAACATAGCCAACAGCATTATAACTCATGCCTGAAGTAAGCTTATCTAACGTATTTTCTCCCTAAGTCACATCACAGTCTTCTTGTGCTTGGGACATTAGACAGTGCTTTAACATTATACTCACAAGCCATTTCAAACAGCAAAATCATCAACAAAAAGCACCCAAAAGAATGCAAAAATCATGGCACTAAATAGACCATGAAAACGACACTCGTGCACAGTATGAGAGCTGAAATGAAAAGGCAGAGCCGTGCTTTGTTCCACCTCAGCTGGAAATGTGCACATCGGGTGGCTCAAATTTTTCACCACTCTATGCGTATCCATGAATGACTCACCCTAAATACTGATTTGGGGGTTACAAATAAATTTTAGCATTAGGAGAATTTGCAAATATGGAATCTTGAATAATGAGGATTGATGATATTATTAGTGCTTGTATAATTATGGGGAAAAAACCTTTTGTTAAAAGAAAGGAGTCTGTAAAATGCCTTGTAAAGGGTATTTTGTTGACCTTGGTATACCCCTCACCCTCTCACCTCCACAAACAAACCTTGATTAACTAAGAAATGTTTTGTGCAATCTGCAGCAGTTTAGTCTACTAACATTTTATGCCGATCTGGTGGGTGTCTAGTAAATAGAGCTCCAAAGCCTGTAGCAGGTAATCCAGTGTCCCTGGAAACAAGACAATAATTTTTAGAAAACATGTCAGACTGACATTTATAAACTTTCAAAGCCATACAAAACTAATTTGGGACTGAATTTTTTTATCCTTTTTTTTATTTTTCATTTTTTATTTTAATACCAGTGTAGTTAACATACAGTGTTATATCAGTTTCAGGTGTACAATATAGTGACTCAGCAGTTCCGTACAAAGAAAGTACTATTTAGATTGCAGTTGACTAATAATCTAGTTATTCAGGCTGCTAAGACAGGGAGTGATAGTAGTAAAAATATGGCGTTAGGTAGGACTGATCAAACAAATAATGGTGCTTGGCATTGAGAAATGGCTTGTGGTTTTATATTAATAATTATAGTAATAAAATTGATAGTACCTATAATTGAAGATATACCTGTTAAATATGGGGGGAAAGTAGGTCAACAGAAGCTCCTGTGTGAACGAGGTTACCAGCTGGAGGTGGGTACAGTTCAACTTGCTCAAGCAATAACAAGTCAAGCACTGCTTCAACTGTTGATTATGTGAGCAAGAATAACCATGACAGTGCGAGTAGTCAGAAACTGATTTACTCGAGAAAATGCTATATCGGGGTGGGGGGGTGCCTGGGTGGCTCAGTTGTTAAGCGTCTGCCTTCGGTTCAGATCATGATCCCAGGGTCCTGGGATCGAGACCCGCATCAGGCTCCCTGCTCCGCGGGAGGCCTGCTTCTCCCTCTCCCACTCCCCCTGCTTGTGTTCCTGCTCTTGCTATCTCTCTCTCTGTCAAATAAATAAATAAATAATCTTTAAAAAAAAAGAAAAGAAAAGAAAATGCTGTATCAGGAGCACCAGTTATTAACGGGATTGGTCAGTTTCTGAATCCTCCCTCCAATTATAACTTGTATAACCATGAAGAAAATTATTACAAATGCATGGGTGGTTACAGCTGGGGCTGAATTTTTATGATAGTTTCTTAAAGGTTATTCATGTTTGCAACTTTCATGCACTTTGCAAAATAAAATGTCCCGACAAGTAAATGAAAAATTCAGCATTTTGTCATTGTTTTGACTGCATTTTCCAACAATTACAACACAAGACAAGATGAATGGAAAGACTTTTCCATGGAAAGACACTGTGCCAAGCTGCAGGACTACAGATATGAATAAAAAACAGTTCCTACTCTCTAGGAACTATTTCAGGGGAAACACACATACATATAAATAACTAGAATGTAAGTCCAACTGTTATACAGAACATGCTAAACAAAATGCTCAGAGGGCAAAAATATAAGAGCAATCAATCCTGATCAATGATGGCTTACCCTAATTCTTACTGTTTGTCAGGCAATATTTCTATGTACATTTCATACTTCTTTTCACCTAAACTTCAGAGCAACCTATGAAGTAGATACTTTTATAATTCCCATTATATAGGTTGACAAGCTGAAGATTATAGACACTACTTCACAAGTAAATTGTGGAGTTGGTGTTCAAACCCAAATAGTCAGAACACCGACCAGAAAGAAATGCATATAGAGGAGGTAACATTTTAACTGGACCCAGAATGGGTAATGCTGATTGGCAAACAATTGAGGGAAAGGGAATTCCAGACAGAGGGAATGGCATGAACAGAAAGCATGGAAGCTTGAGATATGTTCATTGTGATTGATGTGGTCCAGTAATGTGTAGCTGGGGCCACTACACCTCATTACTCATACAAATCCCTTCCTGCATGTGTATGTTCTGTAAGCAAAGGAAAGTAGTAAGAATACCTTTCAATAATCCCAGAGCTCATTGTCTTGTCATTCAATAAAGCCTTTCTCTTTGTTTTAGCCAATTCTCTGTTTAAATAAACTTGTGCCATCTGTTCATGTGTTTCTGATATCCAAATCTGGAAAAAAAATGGAAGCCACATATAAGAAAAACACATACATTGCCAAAAATGGTCAGTTACTAAAATATTTTCTGAAGTACATTCTGATTTTAATTATTGATGCTGTTGACATTAAAAAATAAGTACCATCTCATAGCAGTTCAACTATTTCATTGTAAATATGTGAAAATGGCAATTCCTTACTATGTGTTATTGGAAAATAAAAAATCAAATTGGTTGTTTCTGTGAAATGCATTCAACTAAATACTAACTCTATGTGCTTTCTACTTTCTTCTCAAGGTTAGTATATTTTAATTTCCCTAAGTAAGAAAATGTTTGTAGCAATCACTCTGTAAATCACATCGGACTCAGATACCAGCACCATCACCACCATCATCCATTCTCCATCAGAGGATTACTCAATAAATTATCAAGCACTTATTACTATGAGAAAGACCTGCAAATTGTAAGATGTACTCAAACCAATTTAAGAAGCATCATGAGTAACATTTAGGGCATCTTACAAACAATGGATGCAGAGGATTCAATATTTTTTTCTATTCCAAACTCTAGAAGATCGATGAATGTGGAGGTTCACAGAAGAGAAGCAGAACTCACCACTACCAAGAAAACCCATTACTTTCTCCAAACCTGAAGACATCCAATGAAGCCCTAGTCACATTAATCCCACCAGATTTTGTTCAAAAAAAAAAAAAAAAGGAAGAAAAAGAAACTTCTGTTTAGATATTTGGAGACTTTAACTGAAAAATATCATAGCTATAGTCAAACACCTTTGGTCCACTTCAGGTTGGTATAATAAAGCTCTGCTATAACTAGGAAACTATCCTACTCAAAGCAATTTTAACTATAATCCCTGGCCCTGGTTCCCTGGTCTACTCCATGGTTCTAGATCTTTGGCTTCTCTGACCACTGCTCTCTGAGACTTCAACCTCCTGAATCACCAGCCACCCAGCCCAATTTGCCAGCTTTGACTCCTATACCCTTTGCTCAACTACTCTTCCTCATAGATTCCCAGGTTCACAAGTCAATGGTAAGAGACACTGTATTGAGCTTCATATTATACACTTTAACAAAAAATAAGACATTTCTTTTGGGAAAAAATTACTAGGCACCATTTTCATGTGTAAGATTGATCCAAAGGCACCTGTCAGTGCCTTCCACAGGCTAATCCCAACAGAAAGCCAGAGGACAAGGAAGATCACTGAAGCTGTCCATAAAGGTCAGCCTCCGTGGCAAAGAGCAGGGCTGAGACGGGGGGAAAGTAGATCTGGAGGGAGAAAGGAAAAACACTTGGCATAGTTTATCTTCATTTTAAGGAAGAAAAATTGAGGCTGAAACAGAATAAGCAAGGCCCAGGTAAACCAGCGCGAAAGTAGAAGTTCCACAGTTTAAAATGTTGCAGCCTGACCCATTCATTCATCAATCCAAATCTATGAAGTGCCAGGCTAGTGTAGTAAACAAACTCCAGAGGCTCCACTGACTAGAGTTTAGTGAGTTGCAGTAAATCATGGGGATAATGGTAATGACAAGAGCACATGGCTAGACACTATTCTAAATGTCTTCACATCAAATGCTCATGAAAACTCTACTATTCTCGCTTCACACCTGAGGAAATAAAGACATGGAAAGTTTCAGACTCTTGATCAAAGTTACAACCTACTAAGTGGTGGAGCCAAGAATGAAAGAGAAGCCATCTGTCTCCAGGACCCACTCTTAACCTCTATTTCCTGTATCAGCAGCAAATGTCCCTCAATTTGAGACCTCCCATATTTATCAGTATTAGAACCCCAAAATTTTAGCTAGGGACCTGGTATTTCAGACTACATTTTCTAGTCTCCTTTATTTTTTTTTAAATGTTTAAAGTTTTTATTTAAATTCCAGTTAGTTAACATACAGTGTAATATTAGCTTCAGGTATACAATATAGAGATTCAATACTCCATACAACACCCAGTGCTTATCACAGCAAGTTCAGTTCTAGTTTCCTTTATACTTAAGTATGATGAGTGACTGGTTCTGAACAACGAGGCATAAATGGAAGTAATTTATACAACCTCCAGGAAAGGTCCCGCTTCTGTTTTTCTTTTCCTCCTGCATGAAATGTGGCCATAATGACAGGTTTCTGGCAGCCATCTTGGGCTCTGCACAGGGATGGCAGGGTAGAAAGCTGGAAGGAGTAGGTTTCTGACAAACTTCCATACCAGTCCTGATCTGCTATCATCCAGACTTTTTACATGAAAGAATAAAACCTTATGTGAACAGCCACTGTTGATTTGTGGTTTCTGTTGCATGTGGGCAAACCAAACCCAAACCATTTTAATGTGAAAAATCACTTTGGTCTAGCAATGTTCATAACCTGACATAAGGGTGGATAATTTATAAAAGCACTAGCATATGTTTAAAAGTCTTTTGGGATATATATACATATATATATATATATGTATATATATCACAAACTGGAGATTGGCAATTTGGTATGTGAGATTGCTAAATTAACACAGCACAAATTTGCCGGATAATCACTAAAATTTCCATTAAATTTGCATAATAAGTTCTAGCTTGAGTCAAATGGTAATATAAAAAATAGCTAATGTGTGTTTAGGAAGTTCACTTCATAACATCATTCTTATTCCCCACTTTCCTGAGTATCAATTTTTCTTAAAGTCTCAACTTCTAATCTTCCAAGATGAACTCTTCCTATATGTGTGGCATTTAAGAAATCCCAGTAGTGGAATAGTAACTGTTAACTGGGTAACTGGTACAGGGAAAGAGAAAGTCATTTATAACTTCCCCTCAAGTTCCACATTTGAGGGTAACCAGACTCTTTCTGCTGAGGATGACTGACCCCCAGAAGAATCTCTCTTGGAAAGATTCATTTTAGTTGATTGCTAATTGACATTTCTTTCTTATGTTGCTTATAGGGTTCCCAGAAAGCAGACTCCTCTGACCCATACTTTAGGAAGTACAGATACTTTGCAAGTCAAGTTCCCTCTGTGATGCCACAGGCTGTTTCAGGAATAAGTCCGACCTCAGTCAATCAAGTTCCCCAATTTCAGGGTAACAGTTATTCAAATTCCCTAAGGCCCCACACTACAGCAGGAAGTAGCTTATCCCATGGGGAAAGGAGGGGTGGAACTCAACATATAAATTCTCTCTAAAGGACTCCTCCAAATTCCAAATACTCTCAGCCAGGTCTCTTCAATTTCAACCTTTTCTTTCTTTTTTTTTTTATCTTCAAGGTGAATGAGAGACCAAGGGGCTTGGAATCAATTACCGCCCAAATGCTTTGCATGTTCTATGTGACAGATTTGGCACCTCACTTTGGAATAAAGAACTTGGCATCTGTCACCTTAGATCTTCAGTCATAACTGAAGAGTTTTATTTTACCTGTTAAGTAGCACTTCCCCTACCAATTGTAGCTTTTTTGTACCTTTGCCAAAAGGTCATCATCATCAACAAGCAATACCAAGACTTCATAAAAAGTCTTTATCTTTAAAAAGGGATGATTCTTATTTCTCAGCAGTTTTGCTCTTGGAAATTCTGGCTCTATTTTCATGTCTAGGAGAACTCAGTAGTAGTTCCATACAGAGATAATTTAAAGGATCTCAGAGAATCAGTGAGGCTCCCTCCCCATCATTATTTTGAACAACTGGGACACACGGGGTATGATCAGAAAAATGATTTCATTCTTTTTTTTTTTTTTACTACCTCTTCTATCTTTTCTTATAATCACCTCAGACAACAAAACAAATCACCTCAGATAACAAAACAAAAACAGTCTCACTTAAGTAATGAATGTTGGTAGAATAATCACAAGAGGGCCTTTTAGTTGTCTTGTGATCTGAGGGAAGGAAAGAACAGAGCAAGTGAAGAACTAGAAAATCAGCCAACCCTCCCCACACAGACTTCCCTGGCCTGGAGCAGTCTAGCTGGAGGAAGAGAAAATCTTTCACCTTAAATGAAATTCATCATTTTGATGAGATACTTTAATTACTGAAATGGGACCAATAGACTTGTTATGATCAGAGAGTGACCATAAAAATTATAAAATCTGCATAACATTTTATCCACGGGTACAGAAAAGAACTCACTCCATGAAGTAGGGTGAATAGACAGCGGAGACAAAGAATACAGGTGTGTGTGTGATTGCATCTTTTGAGTGCCATTTGTTCAACATAACAGTGCACATGCTTTGGGAAACTGATATACTGAAAAATTAAAATCTGATTTCTCTAAGAGTTAAATGAGGCATGATTATTGCTATAGAAAAAGAATTATGAAGGCGAGTGACAGGATCAAAATGGCAGATGCCTACATTCATTCCTGTCCCAGATCCCTAAAAATGACAGAGCAGATACACACTTGAATCAATAAACACATAGCTGCATCAGTAGACATGGAAAGTACACTCAGTTGGCCTAAATTTATACAGAATTCCTGAAACAGAAGAGGCAGGTGCACTTGTGCTGATGTTAGAAAAGACGATCCAAAGTAGATGCATGAGAGGATGCTGGAACTGGTGGCATCAACTCCAAGCTCAGAGATGATAGAAACCTGAAGCAAGAGGAGACTCTGACTCCATCACCCACTCGCCCCAAACATCTTCCTTTTTCCTGGCTTAAGTGGTTCTCCTCCAGTGGCATTTAAAATTATTCCATCTACAAAAATTTGATCCATATGCCTCTTTCAGGTACTTAGATCTGAATGCAAGAAGCATCTGTAAGTATAGTCTTATGATCAAAACACTATTCTACAATGTCAATCAAAGAAAAAAAATACCTGAACCAATTAAGTAAAAGATAATTGAATTTCTGAGATCTGGTATAATTATATCCCTTTATATCCATTTTAAGGTCATTAATTTTTAAATGTCATATTTTCATCCACTAAAATAGCTCATATTTGAGACTTGCTTGGCTATCCTTTACCAATTCATAAAAAGAATGTTAGCACACTTTTGTACCATTCATTTATTTACCATTTTAAAGTCCAAAATGA